AGAATTATAACTTAATTCTTTGAAGAATTCATTAAATCTTCACCAGCTTCAAAAATTATATCTAATTAATCTGATCCTCTCTTTTTTAACATTAATTATTCTAAAATATATAAATAATTTAATTTCTTATAATTATTAAATATATTTCTTACATCAATTTCTTCTATTTTACTTGTTTGATATTGTCTATATCAAACTATAAATCCATTTATAACAATATTTTAAAGATGAACAAACATTTTCAAATTTATATTTTAATATTTTTTATAACTTATCATTAGATATTGATTAATATAAATCAATTAATTTAATAAATTAAGATAAATAATTTGTCTACTTAGAGATGTAAATAAATAATTCAAACTTATTATTTTTGTAAATAAGAAGAAAAAAAACATTTATGTAAATATTTATGTTTAAGATTATCGAAAATATTTTATATGATCAAAAGTAAATTAAAAAATTACATAATAAATCAAGATATATTAAAATTAAAATTTATATTTAGATTATTAATTATGATACTAATAGATAAGATATTAAATTTGATATTAACAATTTCAATATATATATTAGTATTTTGTAAATATATAATTATGTTGTATTATTTAATAATAAATTTATAAATTATCTCATTTTCTATTAAAAATTATCTAAAAGAATGTAGGATAGTGAAGAATTCAAAAATAAATTACAAGCTTGCTTTAAGGCAATAGATGAACATATTGAAGTGAATTCATATTTTTTATAGATCCCTTTAGTAATCATCAACGAATATTCAAAGTTCATTTGAATAAATTAAAGAATTCCAATCAAGTGATTAAGGATAGAGCAATTAATCTGAGATATTAAAGCAGAATTTACATTAGCCTAACACTTAATTTATAAATGAATAATTTTCCTAATTACAAGATGATCTCATAGAAGTTATCAAATCTTAATTATGAATAGAATAAGACTATTAAAAAATTGTAAATTTAGAAATATAAATAATCCTGATTTGCATTTCCAATCATTTCTCATAAAATGTTTTTATCTTTATTAATCTAATTGCAAGTTATTACTGTCATACAATTGTAACCTGAAAAATCGAAAAAATATATAAATATTAATTAGTCTTTCATATGTCTTATTCTAAAGAGTTCTAATTTCTGAATATTTTATCAAAAATTTAATTATCAATTAGGATTATGAATAATTTACAACATTAGGTTTATAATTTTTATAATATAATTGATTTTTAAAAGGATTTTTTATTTGAATATATATTGTTTGTTAAATGGATTGAAGCAATCTCAAACTTAATAAATAATTTTGAAGTTTAATATTATATTAAAAATGGAAATTAATATGCTTAAATTTTAGTATAAAATAATTATAAATGCATTAATAATCTGTTCCAATTTCAAGATTATAAAAAGAATATCGATTGAAACCACTTGAATTTTTATCTCCTCAAAAAGAAAGAATTGTTTCCAGATATCCTGAAAGTACTGATTATAACAGCAATAATAATGGTAAATATTAGACTAATCTATCATTACCTACATTACCTCCTTTAAAAAAAATGAGCAAAATAGAGTAGACAGTTTCAATTTATAAGGGTAAGGCTGCTCGTTTGCCGTCTATATAATTTACTGGAAGCTAATAGTAATTATAAAGAAAAAAGTAAATTTCAGAAATTGATGGAATGCGGAAATCTATAACGCCAGAGAAAAGAATGGGAATGAGAAATTCTATCATATTTGCCATGAAAACTAAGGCTGGTTGTTAACCAAATAAAGCGACAAAAATTAATTAAGATGCTGCAATTGTTTGTCCAAAAAATGTAGAAAGGTAAAACTCAATATATACAATATTAGTATTGGGTTTAAATTGTTTGGAGTTTGTGATGGACATGGATTGAATGGTCATATAGTTTCAAATTAAATTAAATAGCAATTGCCTAAACATTTGAGTAGATTGTTGAAGGATGGAGAGAATATAGAGAATTAGATTCAAAAAGCATTTACTATAACTAATAGGGAATTGTGGAACTCTGAAATTGATACTAATCTTTCAGGTTCAACTACAATATCATTATTGATAAATAAAGATCATGTAATTAAGAAATAATAATAATAAAGATTTACTCAGCAAATGTAGGAGACTCAAGAGCCATAATGTGTAGATTTGATAATGGATGGAAGGTAGTTCCTTTAAGTAGAGATCATAAACCTGATGATCCAGAAGAAAAATAAAAAATTTTGGAGGCAGGAGGAAGAGTAGAATAATAAAAAGGTTTTAATTATAATTAAAATAATTAGATTTGCAAGGAAATCCAATAGGGCCATTTCGAGTTTGGCTTTCTTATATATAAGCTCCAGGATTGGCAATGACTAGGTCACTTGGAGATAAAGTAGGGGCTTAGGCAGGAGTAACTGCAGAACCAGAAATAAAATAATATACTATTACTGAATAGGATCATTTTATTGTAGTGGCATCAGATGGAGTATGGGAATATTTAAGCAATGAAGAAGTAAATTTAATTTCATTTAGGTAATAGGTAATGAATATAGTTGTTCCTTATTTGGAAAAAGACAATCCAGATTAAGCAGCTGATAATTTAATAATAGAAGCCACTCAAGCATGGAGAAGAGTAAATTAGATATTATATTATAGAATAGTTTGGCTAGAGACGATATTACTTGTATAGTTATATTCTTATAAAAGTGAAATAATAAGTTATTATAATTTATACATTCTAAAAATCTCTTATGAATTATAATTTTAATTTTTAAATTAGCAAAAACTAATCTAAATACCTTTATAAATTTATTTTTATGACTCAAGATATAGCAAGATAATAAATTATTTTTTCTTAAAAAAAAGATTTAATTTGGTAAAAATATTGGATTTTTCAGTTAACTTCAAAATTACAACTATTTTTATAAAAGAAATTAAAGGATATTATAAAAGAAAATTCATAATAAAACATATAAATTTATTTTCTTTGATCATTATAGATGTCATTCTTAATGTCATACTATCCTCTTTAGATTAAAATTATCATTATAATATTAAAGATCTAATATGAGAGTATGTAAATAAATGTAATTTTATAGATATATAAAATTAATTAAAATGAAATAATCAGCTTAACCTCCACGCTCAACTTAATGTAGGGCAAACTCTCGAGAAGCCAGACTTAATTTTGCTTAATAAGCAGAAATAAATCTTCGCGGAGATTTTAAACCTTAAGTACCTTTAGAGCCATAAAGGCCCATCTAAAGAAGTAATAGTTATAGTCGTAACAATCCCAATCGTCCAGCTACTTAAGAGGAAATACGATCAGCTTTAACTTTATTAAAAGCAAAGCGGGATAGAGATAGAAAATATTCTGAATTCACATAAGCTGTGCCTGATCAAGATATTTTTTAAGCCCCTACTTTAATGAAAGCTTAAAGTTATTAGCCATAACCAACTTCTTATGAAGATATTGTAGCAAAGGAAGATAAAAAGCCTATTGAAATTGATGAATACGAGAATGATGATGAAGATTTAATTGAATGTCCTGAAGGTTGTGGGAGGAAATTTAAAAGGTCTGCTTTGTAAAAACATATTAAGGTTTGCAAGAAGGTATTTCAAGAGAAGAGAAAAGCATTTGATACTAAAGAACATCGTATAATAAATTAAGATCATGCTAAATTATTATAGAAATAATAGTAGGAAGAATAGATTTGTAATATATTGCATTTATTGAAGAGTAACAATAACAATAGAAAAAAAAATAAATATAAACTAAAATTGATGATAGGCCATTATAAGGTTAAAAAAAGCCTAAATGGAAATAATAATCTGAATAATTTAGAGCAGCAATGAAATTAAATAAAGGAGTGCCACTTACTCAATAGGAATAAGTACATGAATCACTAAGTCTAGGTTGCCATAGAAGAAGTGGATGATAGAGTATAGTGTGAACATTGCGGCAGAAAATTCAATGAATAAACAGCATTGAAACATATTCCATCATGCAAAGAAAAGGCTATGATAAATTAAATGAAAAAGAAATCTCAATAGATGTTACCACCTTAACAAAATACTATTAAATCTCAATTTAATGGAACTAATAATTTTCAAAAATAACAATAATAACCTTAATAATAAACCTAAAACAATAGAAATAATGTTAATTTGAATGGAACAAATAATACATTCACAAATACTTAAACTGCATCAAGAAGGCCTCCTCCTTCTTCTTCAAAAAAGTATTGAATATAATTAATTATATTTATAATTTACAATCAATGTAAATAATCAACATTCTTTAAGTATTTCATCTAACTACCTACATCAAAATTTTATGCTGTTTAATTAGAAGAAAAATTATTATGAATAGTGATTTTTTACGATGATTTAGGATTCTCTACCTTATTATTTTATATAGGTTTTGCTGATAATCCTGCAGTTTAAAAAAATTCTTAAGTATTATTTTAAGTAATTTCTTATCTTAAATTAGATAAGGTCTTATGCATTTATGTTAATTAATTCTTTTCTTATTTTTAATCTATATTTTTTCTTATTTATTTTATGTCATTTATTAATGCATTTCATTTTTTTATTGTTAATTTGTCTCTTTTTCTTATTAATATATATTTCTAAAATTCTTAAACATTATTAATTTCTTTATGGTAAAGCTTTTCTTTTTCATTAATTTCTTTTAATTATTTGCAATAATTATTCCCTTTCACCTTCAATCAAACTTAATTTTTTAGAATACTCAGCATGTATACTATTTACTTAATTGCTTTTCATATCTAAATCTCTTTATAAAGCAATTAATTGCATTTCTTTAGTTCCATTTGTTTATTCTTAATTTTCAATATCTGAATATTTTTATTAAATAATCTAATTATTTTTCTAAGTAAATTCATAATATTTACTCATTTATTATTCGAATAATTGTCTTTCTAAATCCAATTATCTTAATTTATTTTGAGCTTATGAATTCATTTAATTTTTCAATAATTCTAGTTCATTTCTAAATAATATATAATAAATTATTTTTATCTTTATATAAACATACTTTCTTATTCAAAACGTTTTTTAGTTTCAATTTCCAAAGTAATCAAAGATTCCTTGATATCTTATAATAGTTATTTTTCACTCTATAATGATCTCTTATCCCCTTCCATAGATGCAAAAAACAATTACTCTCTTCTACTTATACCATCTTAAATATTTTATAGTCTTCTCTTTTCATTTTCAACATAAGATTTCTCTTTTTCCAAATATGTCTCTTAATCATTAATTTCATACTAATTCTTTTCTAATAATCTTATTTTTTCTTAATTTTATTATTCATTTTTATGATATAATTGATTTTGGGAATCTCTAATACTTTTGCACTATCTTTAATTTTATCTACAAGATGATCTAATTATTTTTATTCTCCTATTTATAAATTATAAAAAGATACTTCCAATTCAACAGCATCATCTGCTCTTTATTTTTCTCCTTCATAATCATTTTTTAATTATAATCTTTCTTTAATGAAATTTCATTCTGTCTCCAATTTCTTTTTAATTATTCTTTATCTCTCATTTCTTTCAATTTCTTATTCATCAGAAAGTTTTTATTTCTCATTACTCAAGACCTTTAAATCATCTTATAATATTTCTGTTTCTTATTTCAATTACTTAATTTCATCTTGAAACTTTTGAACATTTAGATTTATTGGAACACTTAATTATATTTCTGGTTATTTGTTTTATTTAATTGAGTAATCAGACTAAACAGATTGTTTTTCTACTTTATTCTATTATGTATTATTAGCAATAGGATCTTAACTTCAATTAATATTACTTTTCTAAGGTTGACCCTTATTTTATGATAAAATCCTCATTTTTTATCTTCTACTCTATCCAATTGAAATTTCAATATTGTTAATTGTATCTACAATTTATGGAGGAGGCGGAGGCAAATCATTATTTATGGTAGTTTTTAGTAGTTAGAAAAGACCAGCCATTTTTTTTTTTTTGATTCATTATAATTGCAGTTTAAGGTCTTTGTCTAGATACAAAGGAAGATTGTCTATCAAAAGGAGAATCTTGAGATTTTAGTATGCTATCGAATTCATATGGATCACTTATAATTTTTTGTCTTTCACAATAATTATGTCCAGCATCATCAGGAGACATTTAATTATAAGTTTAGCTCTTAATAATCTTAACTTCTTCAATACTTTATTGGTTTTTAACATCAGAGAATGTAGAGTAATTATTATAGATGGCAGTATCAGCATAAATGTTAATTATCTTAGATGGAGACTATTCATTTTCTTCTGTAGATTTTAGAGGACTAATTTAATCCATTTAGGTTTGTGGTTGTATCTATTCCTTTTTAATTCTCAACGCAGAACTATTAGTGAAGGCAGAAGTCTACACTCTTATCAAAGGAGAAACTTACATTTTTAAATTAACTTATTTATTATATATATATGTTGATAAATAGGTAAATATGTACATTATCATAGTTCTGTAAATAGACTTTATTTCTCTTATTATCTACTTGGATAGTAATGAGCTGGAGTTCTTTTTTTGGTTCTGCCAGAGTCCAGATACTTCTTTTTTACATAGAATGCTAAAATAAGTAAGATGACTCCTATTGCCAAATATGAAAATTTAATTCCTCCACCACTTGCTTTCTTTTGTGTAACCTATACTTTTTTAGAAATAACTTATTATTATGGTGTTTCATTATCATTTGATTAATTGGCATCTTAATTTTGAGTAATAGATTATTCTTCTTATTGACAGTTTACTTCTATTGGACCCAAATATACACTAGAATAAATATAGATATGATACCCATCTTAGCATTCATCTCCAGATATTTTTCTATATCCTTGACTTTTCATATAAGTTCCTTTACATTATTTAGGTTTAATCTCTTTCATTGGAACACAATTAGAATAAACATCTCTTTTGAATCCAACATCACATTCCCAATCAGCCTTAGTGCATGGACAATTTTCTGTTTATACTGGAAGATTAGGTTCTTTATTATAACATTATGCTCTCTATTTTCTTCTTATATACTTTTCTCTTCTTCCAAATAAACACTTATCTCCAGCATAATTTGTTGGATACCAGAATTCATAATCAGAATCTTATTCTCCAGGATTATCAAATCCTTAACATTCTCTAACCATAATTTAATTGATATCTAATGAAACAACTATTCCTTTTAATGCACTTGAAGTAAAATCATCTTCCTTTGCAACTCCAAGAGTTTTACTATCAGATATTCCATGAAATATAAACTTACCATTTTTATATACAACATTTGTTATATCCATAGTAACATTCATCTTAATCTTCTTAAATGTTAAACCTTCATCCCAAGTATATAAGATTTCACTTGCTTATTCTTCATCACTTACAAATACAATTAGTCCTGTATTTTCAGCAATATCATAAATATGCATTCCATCTAATATTTCAAACCAAGTGTGTCCTCCATCTCTACTTAAATAAGTTTTATATTCATTTCCTAAATAAATTCCAGTATTTCCAGTTCCAATTGTAATATATGAATGACTTACAATTCTATTTCTAGGTGCTTCACTTCTTCCTAATAAATGTAATGAACAATCTCCATTACATTATATAGGTTATCCTTTATAATCATATTTTGGAGCTTTGATAGCATGCCATTCTCCTCCTTATTCAAAAGTTATTCTACTTTATTTATAATTTTCTAATCTTTTAATACCATCTGTATTTTTTGTTGATCTTCTCAACTTAAATTTCTCAAATTCACCATTATCATAAATATTTGCTATGTAAATACCCCTCATAATCAATTCAAAATCACAATTTCCAGTATCTAAACTTCTGACATTATTTAACAATGATAATGTATATTTAGTACCAGTTGTATCACTTTAATATATATTCATTATTTTTGGCATGTCTTCCAAATGAGATATTGATATAAAAATAGATCCATTTACAGTATCCAATACAGTAAATGTATATTTTTAATGATCTTCAATTGGTAATACTAATTCTACTGGAGTAAGACTTCCTTATTTAATTACTTCAAGATCATAACCTTTACTAAAAGGATCAGCATCAATCAAAATAAATAAATACTCTTTAGTCTAATAAAATCCATAAGAATTATTTCTCAATAAGTTTGTAGTTTTAAAGTAATCATCACTNCATTCATCTCCAGATATTTTTCTATATCCTTGACTTTTCATATAAGTTCCTTTACATTATTTAGGTTTAATCTCTTTCATTGGAACACAATTAGAATAAACATCTCTTTTGAATCCAACATCACATTCCCAATCAGCCTTAGTGCATGGACAATTTTCTGTTTATACTGGAAGATTAGGTTCTTTATTATAACATTATGCTCTCTATTTTCTTCTTATATACTTTTCTCTTCTTCCAAATAAACACTTATCTCCAGCATAATTTGTTGGATACCAGAATTCATAATCAGAATCTTATTCTCCAGGATTATCAAATCCTTAACATTCTCTAACCATAATTTAATTGATATCTAATGAAACAACTATTCCTTTTAATGCACTTGAAGTAAAATCATCTTCCTTTGCAACTCCAAGAGTTTTACTATCAGATATTCCATGAAATATAAACTTACCATTTTTATATACAACATTTGTTATATCCATAGTAACATTCATCTTAATCTTCTTAAATGTTAAACCTTCATCCCAAGTATATAAGATTTCACTTGCTTATTCTTCATCACTTACAAATACAATTAGTCCTGTATTTTCAGCAATATCATAAATATGCATTCCATCTAATATTTCAAACCAAGTGTGTCCTCCATCTCTACTTAAATAAGTTTTATATTCATTTCCTAAATAAATTCCAGTATTTCCAGTTCCAATTGTAATATATGAATGACTTACAATTCTATTTCTAGGTGCTTCACTTCTTCCTAATAAATGTAATGAACAATCTCCATTACATTATATAGGTTATCCTTTATAATCATATTTTGGAGCTTTGATAGCATGCCACTCTCCTCCTTATTCAAAAGTTATTCTACTTTATTTATAATTTTCTAATCTTTTAATACCATCTGTATTTTTTGTTGATCTTCTTAACTTAAATTTCTCAAATTCACCATTATCATAAATATTTGCTATGTAAATACCCCTCATAATCAATTCAAAATCACAATTTCCAGTATCTAAACTTCTGACATTATTTAACAATGATAATGTATATTTAGTACCAGTTGTATCACTTTAATATATATTCATTATTTTTGGCATGTCTTCCAAATGAGATATTGATATAAAAATAGATCCATTTACAGTATCCAATACAGTAAATGTATATTTTTAATGATCTTCAATTGGTAATACTAATTCTACTGGAGTAAGACTTCCTTATTTAATTACTTCAAGATCATAACCTTTACTAAAAGGATCAGCATCAATCAAAATAAATAAATACTCTTTAGTCTAATAAAATCCATAAGAATTATTTCTCAATAAGTTTGTAGTTTTAAAGTAATCATCACTATAACTAACCTATACGTGGCCTTAATCACTTAAATAAGATGCTACAATTCTTGAATCTGGCACTTCTGGCAATTCAATCAACTTATCCCATATTGCATCTTTAGTTCTATTCAATACTAGTCTCCAATTACTTCCAAAATCATTACTTACATACAATCTAGAATTCAATAAAGATCTTCATACTATTTTTTATATTTCTCTTTACACAAATTTCCACTTGTAGCATTACATCTAAACTCTTTAAATGCCATTAAACTATGGGCTTCTAATGGATTTAACCTGAAATCATGCAAAGTCTTTTGATGCTTAAATTTTTAATACGTTTTCCCACAATTCTAAGTCACATAAGAAGTATCGAAATCACCTAATAGATAAAGTACTTAAGAATCTGCTTCTGATTGTAATATTTCTCTTATGGTTAACTAGAATGAATAATTCATAATTACATTTGGTATTAACTTTGGCATTTCAGATGTATAATTTTTGTATAGCATACCTTTTGCACTAAGAATGAAGGTTTCAGATTTACACCATACAACTTGTTCAAGTGGTGAATCCAAAATTTTTTATGAAAACACCACTTGTAGCAATAATAATGTTAACATAATTAATTTATAAACAGAAGAGTCAAATATCTTTTAAGATAAATATATTTATTGAAATAAATGTTAAGTTCTAAGGCTGGAATTGATCATGTGTTACGTTAATTCACCAATAAAAGAGTTTTAATTAGAGTTGATTTCAATGTGCCCATTAAAGAAGGAAAAGTGAAGAACACAACAAGAATCTAAGGAGCCATCCCTACATTAAAAAAGATTTTAGAATAGAATCCAAAGAATGTGACATTAATGTCTCATATGGGTAGACCTGATGGAAAAAGGTAATATAAGATATTAATTTTATAGAGTTGAAAAGGATTCACTTAAGATTGTAGTTCCTAAATTAGAGGAATTGTTGGGTACTAAAGTTAACTTTGTTAATGATTGTGTTGGTTCAGAAGCTCTTGAAGCTTCAAATGCTGGAAATGGATAGATCAATTTATTAGAAAATCTTAGATTCCACATTTAAGAAGAAGGAAAAGGTCTTGATGCAAATGGAGCTAAGATTAAAGCAGACAAAGAGAGTGTTAAGAAATTTAGAAAGGAATTATCATCTTTGGGTGATATTTATGTTAATGATGCATTTGGTACAGCACATAGAGCTCATTCATCTATGGTTGGAATTGATCATAAAATTAGAGTTGCTGGTTATTTAATGAAGAAAGAACTTGATTATTTTGCTAAAGCTTTAGAAACACCATAAAGACCATTCCTTGTTATCTTAGGAGGAGCTAAAGTAGCAGACAAAATTTAATTGATTAAATCTATGCTTGATAAAGTAGATGAAATGATTATTGGTGGAGGTATGGCTTTTACATTCCTTAAAAAAATATATAATGTTCCAATTGGAAAATCACTCTTTGATGAAGAAGGATATAAAATTGTTGATGAAATTATTGCTAAAGCTAAAGAAAAGAATGTTAAAATTCATTTACCTACTGATTTTGTATGTGGTACTGGATTAGATGCTTCAAGTCCTGTTGCATTACATGATCTTAAATCAGGAATTCCAGATGGATGGTTAGGTTTAGATGCTGGATAATTGACATAAAGAGAAAATGCTGATGCTATTGGAAGAGCTAAGACAGGTATAAATTAAATATATATTTTATTAGTTGTTTGGAATGGACCTTAAGGTGCTTTTGAAATTGAATAATTCAAAAATGGATCAGTTAGTATGTTGAATGCTTTGGTTAAATAAACATAAAATGGAGCTACAACTATTGTTGGTGGTGGAGACACAGTCAATCTTGTTGGTGCTAATAAGGCAAATGATAAACTTAGTCATGTATCTACAGGTGGTGGTGCTTCTTTGGAATTATTGGAAGGTAAGATTTTGCCAGGTGTAGAATATCTTACAAACATTAAAGATTTATGATCAAAACATTATATTCATTCAAAAGTTAATATTAACAATTTTTATCATATATTGGAGATGATTAATTTAATATCAATAGATTCCTATTAAATAATAAATTTATAGATCTAAATAATATAATTTGATTTTGAATTATTGAAAATTAAATTCACAAAAATATATTACAAATTACAAATTAAAACATTATACAAGCAAAATTTTTAAGTAGTATAATAATAATCATCTAATTGTATGTTTCAGATGGGACAAATTCTATACTGAATTTAATGAAGATTAATAACAATGGAAAACTAATGTGTCTTTTATAATTAACTTTGTTTAAATCAAAGAACTGTATTTGAGAC